CAACTCTTTTGAGAGAACCTGCCCCCTTCTTCCGGAAAGCCACCAGGTTTTGTTTCCATCAGTAACTGCTAGCAACTGGCCCCGTTACTAATATAAATTATGAATGCAGAATTGGTAACAGAGGTGCCATAACTCCTCTGAATCTGATCAAATAAAGGGGACCTGCCTTCCTTGATAGGCATGTTCCCAGTAACAAAAGTAAAAGAAGAAAAGAATTTACTTCGATGCCTATCCCCTTTTCCTTCCCACTTTCTCACCTTGAAAACAAACTATTGAAAAATGTTCACAGGAAGGAGGTTCTACTCAGTTTTTGGAAGAACACAGCATCTAAGTATTCATTCTGCAATGACTTGGGCTGACAATATCAGTAAGTATGTTGTACTCAAACAAAATTGTTCAAGGTGGAATAGAAATAAAGCCTCAGCTCTTGAGAGAGAAGGCAAGGAAAGCACAGAACGCTCATCTGAAGCTTCGTGTGGCCAGCCTGGAAGAAACCAAAGACTTGTTTGGCCAATGTGTGGTTTTCTACCTGAACAAACATCCAATTATATGTGGAATAGACTCCAGAGCATTTCAGAGAGATAAAGTATAATGACGTGGGGGTACCATGGTGTTAGCCTCGCAGAGGCAGATCCCTGGGTTGCTGACAAGCCAGAGGGCTTGTGTAACATCTCTGTAAGCTACCTGTGTCCAAACTCAGCAGTGAGGACTGATTTGTAGTCTTCTCGGATGCTCCTGACCCATTTTTGTGTGTCCTAGGACCATTTCATCCCTTCCAACACAATGACAACATTCCAAAGAAGAATGTCATGGCCTTGTAAGTCTGACAAAAGATGGATTGTCACTACTGGATCTCTTCTTCTACACAAAGTGCTATCCAGTGTTTGCTGTTCTGAACAAATCATTTGGTAAAGCATTCTGTAAGTTTATTTGGATGAGGATAGCACGGGCTTTTTTGAACCACTGGTGAGAGATGAGTTGGGTCTGATTATCCAGAGGCTGCAAGACCCGCGCTCCTGAGCTTTGCTATGTGAAACACCTGTGCATGCAGAATGCAGGATAAATCTTTTGAGACCATTGGATCCACCATGCTCATGAAACATATCTAAGAAAATCCTTGTAGGACACAAAAATAGAGAAAGGGGATTGAAAGATCTGGTCAAGATCTTAACCCTCCATGTTGATTGCAATGTGAGTTGCATTAGCAGCAAGTAGCATATTAGAATGTGACAGCTTCTGTCACGGTCCTCACCCTTAGAGTTAAGCTTTCATATAGTTCAGGGGGGTGCCAAGTCAGGGCCCAGGAGCAAACTATGACCTGTTCTCTCTTTTTTTACTTAGCCTGAGTCAAGAATGATTTTTACATTTTTAAACAGCTGAGGAAAAAGTCAAAAAAAGAGTTACACTTTGTGACATGTGAAAATTGTACAAAATTTACATTTCAGTGTCCACAAGTGAAGTTCTATGAAAGCACAGCCACACCATATTGTCTGTATCTGCTTTTCAGCTATACCAACAGAGCCGAGTAGTTGCCATAGAGATCATGTGGCCTGCAAAGCAAAAAAAAAAATAAAATAAAGAATTTCTATTAGTCTTTTACCCAAAAAAGTTTACTGACCCCCTAATATAGTTCAAATTCTTTCTTCAATTCAGAATTGCTAATTAAATAGACCTGAAGTCTTGCTAAAATGCAAGGATTCATTTTAGAGAACGAGCCACAAATTCTTATCAAATAGGATATAAATTTAATTTTTATTAAAATGGAAATGTTTTATAAAATTCATCTTAAAAATACAATTATATAAAATAGAAACCATCGCAGGACAAGTGGTATAAAAAAGACCTGACTTGGCTGGGCATGGTGGCTCATGCCTGTAATCACAGCACTTTGGGAGGCCGAGGTGGTCGGATCCCAAGGTCAAGATATTAAGACCATCCTAGCCAAAATGGTGAAGTCCCATCTCTGTTTAAATACAAAAATTAGCTGGGCATGGTGGCATGCACCTGTAGTCCCAGCTGTTTGGGAGACTGAGGCAGGAGAATTGCTTGAACCCAGGAGGCAGAGGTTGCAGTGAGCCGAGATCACACCGCTGCACTCCAGCCTGGTGCCTGGCGACAGAGCCAAGACTCTGTCTCAAAAATAAATAAAAATAATAAATAAAATAAATAAAAATAAACAGACGTGACCTTCCTGACTACTAGTCGGGGAAATGCGAATTAAAATGCAATAAGATACTGTTTCATACTTCCAAAATTGTCAAAAAATTTAACCATCTGATCACAGGAAGGGTTTGAGGGTGCAGAACAACATGCATGGGCAATATGTGTACTGGCACAACCGCTTTGGAAAGCAGCTTGGTAATTTCTAATAAAACAGAAGATGAGTGTAATAAGATGGCTTAGTGATTCCACCACAGGTTTATCATCTATTCTCACACCATTCTAGCACGTATGCAAGAGGAAACATGTAGAAAGATGTTCTATGTGACACCAACATGGTGGGTTGTGCCTTCTGCTCCCCTGTGGTTGGGTGGAGCCCAGTGACTAGTTCTGGTCATTAAGTTGTGAGCAGAAGTGAGACACATGGCTGGAGCATCTGTAAGGCCAATGTGAAACCCTTCTGAGTTATAATAAGCCACAGGTTAAATAGAAATGGCAATGCGAAATACTTCAAATTAAATAATAATACTACATATCAAAGCTTACCATTATACTACAAATACTTATCATGACACTATCAAATACTACATATCAGAGTGTTAGCCATGCTTAGAAGGGAATTTATAGCTTCAAATGCATATTTAGAAAAGAAGAAACTCTGAAAAAAATCAATAAACTTTGAATCTTAGCTTGAGTTCCCCAGAAGCAGACCTTGAGATTCAAGGGCGAACAGTTTAATTGGGAGTGAATTAATTAGCTTGGGCTGCCGTAACAAAGTATCACAGGCTAGGTGGCTTAAACAACAGACATTTGTTTTCTCACAGTTCTGGAGGCTGAAATCTGAGATCAAGGCGTCAGCAGGTTTGGTTTCTTCTGAGGTCCCTGCCCTTGGCTTGTGGATGTCTGTGTTCTCCCTGCGTCCTCTCATGGGCTTTTCTCTGTGTGCCTGTGTCCTGATCCCTTCCTGTAAGGATGCCAGTCACCGTGGATTAGGGTGCACCGTTACGATCTCATTTTAATTTCATCACCTCTTTAAAGCTATAAGCTCCAAATAAAGCCACATTCGGAGGCACTTTGGCTTCAGACTTGAACAAATAAATGTAGGGGCTTCATACATTGAATCTGAGGGGCTCACAGTTCATTCCCTAACAGGGAAATAGACAAGGGGGAACAGGTAGGAAGTAAGATACAGAGAGAAGACAGATATACAATAAAAGGTGTGTTATGAAGGCAGTCATCACAGCAGGAGACTGGAGCTTGATTGCATTAACTACCAAGAAGAATTCTAGAAAGCTAAGTAAAATATGCTTCAGAATTATCCCAACCGAAGGGCAAGAAACCAGAGTATTGACACCCTGACAGCCTTTGGTCTTTAGTTAAAGGTTTCTCCTGGAGGCTGTTAGTTCCCAAGCACCTCCAGCCCACTATGCCCATAGGCTAGGTAAGTTCAGGCAGCCTGGGCATTGTCCTCTGACAAAGATGCAGGTCCCGCTCTAGGAGGTCTGGGAGTGCACAGGCCTGATGAAGGATCCCAGGACAAATGAATGGAGCACAGATCATATCAGTTAAGCAGCCCTCTCCAGACATTACCAAAGGAGTGGCGAAACAAATCCAAAGGGAAAGCAATTGTTACAACGAATTCAAATGTATAAGCAGACAAGATCCTCAAAACCATAGACTAATTCCTTAAAATACTAGTAAAAGTGAAAAATTGCTGTCAAGATTGGTTAAACTAGAGACAAATGAACGAGTGACAAACAATGTCAGGAATTTTAAAATGGGGCACATTATGGATCCTGCAGACATGAGATCATTAAGAGAACAAAACAAAAAAAGGAATGAATACCAATTTCACTCCTAGTTATTTACTCAAAAGAATTGAAAACAGGCGCCCAAATCAATACATGTACATATGTGTTCGTGGCAGCACTATTTACAAACATCAAAAGGTGAAAACAGCCCAAATGCTCATCAATAGATAAACAGACAATAAATCGTGGTATATCCATACAATAGAATATTATTCAGATATAATAATAAATAAATTACTAATACATGTTACAATAGGGAAAAACCTAAAAAATATTACATTAAGTGAATGGAGCCAGACACGTATTATATAAATCCGTTTATATAAAATAACCCGAACTGGTAAATGTATTGTTTGTGAAGGCTCAGGAGAGGGAAATGGAGAGTGACTGGTTAATGGGGATGTGCTTCCTTTCGGGGGAGATGGAAATATTTAGCAACTAGATAAAGATGTGATTGCATAACACTGTGAAAGTACAAAATGCCATTTAATTGTTCACTTTAAAATGATTTGGTTTGTGTTACATGAATTTCACCTCAATGAAAAAGAAAGAGAGGGTGAGAAAGAGTAGCACCTGATACTGCCACTAAAAATGGACTCGTTTTACTATTTTCATGAGCTCATGTTGGTCTCAGAGGCTCACGCCTGTAATCCCAGCACTTTGGGGGGCTGAGACTGCTGGATCACTTGAGGTCAGGAGTTTGAGATGACCCTGGCCAACATGATCTCTACTGAAAATGCAAACATTAGGCCGGGTGTAGTGGCTCATGCCTGTAATCGTAGCAGTTTGGGAGGTGGAGGCAGGTGGATTGCCTGAGCTCAGGAGTTTGAGACCAGCCTGAGTAACACGGTGAAACCCCCTCTCTATTAAAATTCAAACAAATTAGCCTGGTTTTGTGGCATTCACCTGTAGTCCCAGCTACTCTCTTCAACAAGCAGAACCCGAGGAAACATGGGTGAGGTTACTTTAAGGCTTGGAGACTTCTCAGCTAAAGGAAGTGGGCCAGGGAAGGGCTAGGTGCTCTGACATTCCAAATATAGTCTGCTTGGCCACTGAGGAAGAGAGATTTGTTGCTAGCAACAAGTACTTAGAACGTGTGTGATTTGGCATGTCTCGAACTGTGAAGTAGATGCAATGCAGGCAAAAAATCGATGATGCTGTGGGGAGGGGCTGTGTAGGGTGTTAATCGCCATCTGCAGTGCCTGGAGGTGGGGTGGGGAGAAGTGAAGAATCTCTTCCTTTTTAATAGATTTTCAAGATGGGAAAATCATATTGCAACCAGCAGGCATTTGGAAACAATTGTGCCGAAGGCAGAAAGTATATCTAGCGTTAAGCTGAAAAAACTGGACGCTCCTAGCAAACTCACTTTGCAGATTTCTGGATGTCAGAAGAAAACGCCAGAGGATTTCACTCGGCTTTGACCCCTTACTGCTTCCAGCCACGTACCCTGGGCAGTAGAACAAAGGAACAGACGGCAGAGTCGCTTAAGAGGAGTAAGTACCAACGGCTGTGCGACTTCAAATCGCCACCTAAGATTACTTCTTTGATTTCTGGAAAAGTAGGCCAAAGGAAGATGTCAGGTGAGATGGGGATGGGGGTGGGGGGGGGAAGAGGTAAGCCTGAGTCACGACCCCGTAGGCATGTGGTGAAGCAAACTCCGCAGCACTGTTTATCAGTTACAGTAGAAGGCACACTTGTGAAATCTTTGAGAATCATAAATGTTGTTCCCTACAATCATACCTGAAAAAGCAGGTACATCTTGAATCTTTCCTTTAATTCTGCCGGGGACAAAATGACAGTACAAATGTTAAGTTAAAAGTGCAAATCAGCATAGAATCATAGATCCAAAAGTTGAAAAGACTTTTGACTAAATCCTAGAAGAAAAATGAATGTAAAATTACAGATAGAAAACCTTAGGCTCATATGTTATTTCTTAAAACTCTAGAACTTGGAGCTGTTACCCTTATTCAACCATTAAATTGATCAGCACTTTCTGTTGAGTTAAACTGAACCTAGGGTGTTTTTGCCACTTGCCCACCTTCATCTGGGTCTGGGTTATTTCTTTTCCTTTGTTGTAACTATGTTTTTCTTTTTAATTGTGGAAAAATACACATAAAAATAATATTTTAAACATTTTTAAGTGTGCAATTCAATGCATTTAGTACATTTGCAATGTCGTGTGACTATCCCCACTTCCTCAAATAGTTCCGGAGAAACAGAATTGTTAAAGACAGAGGCCAGGTACTGTGGCTTATGCCTGTAATCCCATCACTTTGTGAGGCCAAGGTAGGAGGATCGCCTGAGCCCAGGAGTTTGAGAGCAGCCTGGGCGACATAGTGAGACCGCATCTCTACCAATAATAATAATAATAATAATAATAATAATAATAGTAATTAGCCAGGCGTAGGGTAATATGTCTGTGGTCCCGGCTACTTAGGAGGCTAAGGTGAGAAAATTGCTTAAGCCCGGGCAGTTGAAGCTGCAGTGAGCCGTGATAGCACCACTGCACTACAGCCTGGGCAATAGAATGAGACCCTGTCTCAAAAAAGTTAAATTAAATTAAAAAGAAAAAAAAAAGAACATTAAGGATGGGTTTTCTGAATTGATTCTGCGGTTTCAGGAATTGGCTCTCTAATCTGATTAGATTTAAAGATGCTGATGATTTTCTTTTTAGTGGTATGAGAGCACTGGTGGTCCATGCAGTGATCTGGCAATAGAGATATGTAAAATACCACCATCGGATACTCCTTAGCAACCTCTTATAAGAAGCAGGAGCTGGGGGCTGTGTATATGCTTTTGAACACTTTTTTGCAAACTAACAAGTATAATGAGATTGGCTGGCTGATCCAAATGTCTCTGGACAAAGTGAGGAAAGAAAAATATGAGCTTGGGGATTTGAATCTTCAGCTTAAGCACCTTGTACAAGACCTGAAATCTTCTATGTGTGCCCTGAAAGACCGTTACTGCTTTTAGCAGCAGGGCTAGGATTGCTGAAAATCAAATACAGGGTCTTATTCTGAGATGGGCTGAATTGCTGCACAGGTTAAACTCGCAGCCTCGCAGGATGTCTGAGGTTGAAGTAAGGAAGAGAGGCACTTAGACAGTTGAAATGGAGACATGTGGGAAGACCTGATGAAACTGGGAAAATTCAGTCCCTGGATTCCGATAAATATTTGCCAGTAGAAGAGGCCTCTCTACTCTTTCTACCTTCCCACTCCCAGTGGTAGTGGCCTCTTCACCCCCTCACCTCCCAACTGGTGGGATTAAGCCCGCATTGCCCTATTAAAGCTGTAATGGCCTCCTCTGTGGTAGATGCCATGCTAGACAGTGATTCTCCTTAAGACCCATTTCTACCACCCCTCTTCCCTTCTAGACCTACAACTTGATCCAAGTCCTAGAAGGCTCCTACAGGTAAGGTACAAAATGCAATTCACCAGGAAGTATACTGCAGTTTAAAAGAACTGCTGGAGTTTTCTAATGTGTACAGACAGAAATCTGGAGAACATGTGTGGGAGTGGATGTTGAGCGTGCAGGATAATGGCAGAAGGAACATAAAGTTGGATTAGGTGGAATTCATTGATACGGGCTCACTAAGCAGAGATTATGTATTTAACATTGCAGCTCAGGCAGTTAGAAAGGGCTCTAATTGTTTGAGCTATACTCGTTTGTTGGTTTTCTCCAAGTCTCCAGTTGAAATTTGATTCCCAATGTTGGAGATGGGGTACAGTAGGAGTGGGGTCAGCAGACAGATCTCTCAGGAGTGACTTGTGCCATTCTTGCAAGAGTGAGTGAATTCTTGCTCTGTTTGTTCCTACAAGAACTGGTTGTTTAAAGGAGCCCAGTACCTCCCTCCCCACCACCTTCCTTTCTTGCCATGTGATCTCTGCATACACCAGCTCCCCTTCACCTTTTGCCATGCGCACCTGTTGCCCTCAGTAGATGCAGATGCCGGCATCATGCTTCTTATACAGCCTACATAACCGTGAGCCAAATAAACCTCCTTTCTTTATGAAGTATCCAGCCTTAGATATTACTTCATAGCAACACAAAGGGACTAAATTTGGTTGGCTGAAACATAGACCAAAAGGTGGCTGATATTGAGTGAGTTCAGAATGCTAGAATTGCCTTGGTTTAATATAGAGGAAGAGATTCAAAGGCTTAGGGAGATTGAAATGTTAGAGTGGATTTGTCATTTAGTATCTTCTCACTCACCCAGGGAGAGTACAGAAGACATATTTTTCACCACAATTGTGATAAATAAATTTGTGATGGAATCCCTGGTGTCTTTGAAAAGCTCTGAGATTACTCTTCTTTGTAGGCAAGATCTTACAGTGGGATCTGCAGTCACTGAACTGGGAAACCTAAATACAATGGAATGACTGGATCCTGGGGTGGCAGCTCTCAACCACCAAAGGCAAAGTGAGTGTGGTTACCTTAAGGGGCAGTAGAGTCAAAGCTGCAGTCAGAATAGCCTGGCTTACCTAGATGGTAGCATGAGCTAGTTGATCCTGATGTTTTCAGAAGTGCAACAGATAGAAAGCCTACTAGATTCTTAGTTGACCTGTGTAAACAGCAAAGTTCTAGTGAGCAAAAGTCTAACTTGAATCATAAAAGTAGGGAATCATGGCCCCTAAATGGATTCCCAGACTTAAGCCAGTTTACAGAGCCAGAACCCCTTGAATGAAGAGGAAGCTAGGACCCTGGTACATTGCCAATATTTTGTACTTCTGCTTCTCCCCCAACCCTCCCCAAAGGGACCTACAGCCTTTTACCAGGGTCAATGTGCCTTGAGGAAAAGGAAGTAATCAGATCTTTTGGGTACTACCAGACAAAGGCTCTGAACTGACATGGAATCCAGGAGACAGGGAACATCATTGTGGTCCACTAGCCAGAGAAGGGGTTTATGGAGGTAAGATTACTTATGGAGTTTTAGCTCAGGAGTTATGGAGTTTTAACCCAGTGGGGTTAAACCCATTCCATGGTTATCTCTCCAGGTCTGGAATGCATAATTGGAATAGGTACACTCAGCAGCTGGCAGAATCCCCATCTGTGTTATCTAATCTGTGGAGTAAGGACTATTATAGTGAGAAGGGCCAAGAGGAGGCCACTAGAACTGCCCCTATGTAGGAAAATAGTAAGCCAAAGGCAAAGCTGCATCCCTGAAGGGATTTCAGAGATTTGAAAAACGGAGGGGTGGTGATTTCCACCATATCCCCATTCCGCTTGCCTGTTAGGTCTATGTAGAAGACAGTTGGATCTTGCAGAATCACAGTGAATTCTCATAAGCTTAGCCAGGTGGTGACTCCACTTGCAGCTGCTGTACCAGATGTGGTTTCATTGCTTGCACAAATTAACATATTGTCTGAAACCTGATATGCAACTATTGATCTGACAAATGCCTTTTTCTTCATGTCTGTCGATAAAGACTACCAACAGCAGTTTGCGTTCACCGCAAGGCCAGCAATACACCTTTACTGTTCTATCTCAGGGGTATGCCAACTCTCTCCAGCACTATACCATAATCTACTTCATGGGGTCTCAACTCCCTTCACAAGATATTATGTTGGTCCATTTGAACGAGGACGTTATGTTGATTGGACCCAATGAGCAAGAAGTAGTAACTACTTTAGACCTATTGATTAGAAATTCGCATGTAAGAAGGTGGGAAATAAATTCAACAAACTTCAGGGGCCTTCACCTTAGTCAAAGTTGTAGATATCTAATGTTGTGAAGCTTATTGAGATGAGATATCCCTTCTAAGGGAAGGCTACGTTATTTCATCTGGCCCCTCCTACAACCAAAAAAGCAGCACAATGCCTACTGGGCTTCTTCAGATTTTAGAGGCAACATATTCTTCATTTGGGTGTGTTACTGTGATCCAAAAAGCTGCTACTATTGAGTGGGCCCCAGAGCAAGAGAAGGCTCTTGCTCTGGAATAGTGGGCCAGACTTCTGTGCAAGCTCCTCTGCTGCTTGGGCCATAAGATCCAACAGGGCCAAGTAATGGTTCTTGGAGTGTCAGTGGCAGATAGGGATGCTGTTTGGAGCCTTTGTCAGGTCTCTATAGGTGAACTTCAGTGCAGCCCTTTGGATTTGGGAGCAAAGCCCTGCCATTCGTCACAGATAACTACTCTCCTTTTGAGAAAGAGTTTTTGACCTGCTTGCTGAGCCTTAGTGAAGACTAAATGCTTAACTATGGGTTACCATGTTACCACGCAACCTGAGCTGCCCATCATGAACTGGGTGTTTTCTTACCCAGCAAGTTATAACACCAGGCGTGCATAACAGCACTCCATCATCAAATGGAAGTAATTTGACCGATTGGGACCAGACAGGCCCTGTAGGCACAAGTGAGTTACATGAAGAAGTGACGCACATGTTCATGGTTCCCACTCTTGCTACACTGCCTTCTCTCTCCCAGTCTCATGAAGAGTTTCCTATGATCAGTGACAGAGGAAGAGAAAACTCAAGCCAGGTTTACAGATGGTTCTGCA